TCAGGAAGAACACATCACTGCAGGAACTTTGGTAAGTGTTACACACAAGTTGTATGCAGATTACCAATAGCTGTCTGGTTTGATGGTAACCACTGCTTGCACAGCAGTGCTTAAAATGCTCCACCCTCTTATTTCCTGTTAAAGGTTGACAGAAAACTGCATAACCAGAATGGGGGTGGAAGGTCTGATTCAAGCCCTTAAACACAATACATATGTGACATCGGTATGGTATGTAATGCTCAGCAAGCCTGACACTCATGAATACAAAGTTCCCTATATTCTTTAGAGCATCCACTTTTGGACTGTTTGCATCCAGACAATGTGTTTGTCAGTTTCAGTGCCAAGAAAAAAATGCATCAGTTTGGTGTAAGCTAGAATATTCTTTTTCTTTGTTTTTGTTCCCATGTCTCCTGTTCATTTATTTACTACTACTGTCTCTTCTTTTTGCATTATAGGTTAAGAAACAATGATCTCAGTTTGGAGGATGCAGAAGAAATGAAGCAACTGGAATCAAGACTGATCTTCTGATTTGTATTACAGTGGCAAAGGACTTTACTTTGCAAGAAACTTTATTTTATTTTTTTACAGGAATAGTTTCTATTTTTATTTGAGATTTAAAATATGTGTAATATGTTTTTTAAAAAAAAATTGGATTAGTGTTTTTTCAAGGTTGCAAAATACATACACCTCTTTATTGGGTTTTTATAGGTGGCAGTGGTGTGGCATTGCTTTATACCATAACAAATACTACCTTTTACCTCACCAACACAACTTTTACTACTCATAGTAACAGCAGAAGTGTTATTTTAATTTTTTGTTTCTTTATTTTATTTTGTAGTTGTTAGTGGAAAGAGGTGTGAAATTTTACTACAGAATGTAAGACTGTATAGTCTGTGGTTACCGTTATGGAAGAGTTGTAACACCTTCATATCCTTCAGTCAGAAACAACTACACATGTACAGTTACATTGTCTTAAAGTTACAAAAAAAATGTTACATTTGAAGTTTGGATAGAAGGGCGGAGGCAAATATGCTGTTTTGGAATGGGAAAAAAAAGAAAAACAATTTTCTGTATCAGATCAGATGTATGATTTTACTGAACTGAGCTTAAATGTCTGGGACATTTACAAAGAGTATTCTTACAGTCCTTGTTGTGCAAGTTAAAAGTAGAAATTACTGGCATGACAAGTTTCAATTTTTGTTTATTAAAACTTATCACAGCAGAAAAGTTTATAGAGCACATTTTGTTGAGTGTTTTTTTTTTCGGGTTGTTCATTTTAGGAATGAGTTTACAACTCTGGAATGTTTGATGGAAATTGGGTGTATTCTGTTTTACACTATATACTATATTTATGCTGTCTATGTTACCTGTTTTTGTCATGTGTGTAAACTGGTTTCTATTTTCTGTCTTTTAATATAATGCTCATTAAGCAGATATGTAATTAAAAAAACATAATATAAAAAGATAATTCCCATTCTGTTAATCCTGATTGAATAAATGCAGCTAAAGTACTTGATTCAGATTCACATAAGGTGAGAACATTCTGGCATAGTAGGGTGGTTGACTTGTTATATGGTCTCAGTCAAAGAAGGGAAACAGAGAGAAAGAACTGAGGTATGCCAGAATATAAAAACCTGGACTAAAAATGTGTAAAACAGGTCTTATGGACTGATCAAACCAAATGTATTTTTTTAAGTTCAAATCAGCAACAGTATATATGCATGAAAAGAAATACGGAGGGAAAGATGTATAACAGTGAATCTCTACAGCCATCTGTAAACCTTTGCGAAAGCTGTGTTTCAGAGACAGCTGCATTTGAACCAGTGATGTTGGGCATTTTGTCAAAAATGATTATAATAAGAAAACAGAAAATTGCTGTCAGATTTAAAATAATGCATTAAAATGATCACACGACAATGATCTCAAGCACATTGGCAATGCAGTAAAGGCATACCTAGATAGAATAACACAGAATGGAACACCATCAGTCATGGATTGGCCTTCCCAGAGCCCTACTGAAGCATTGAGGGATCAACTTGACACAAAAGGCAGCCAATATCCAAAGAAGAGCTTTGAATGTCCTTCAAGAAGCCTGGAGAATTATTCCAAAAGACTGCTTAAAAAACTACAAGAAAGCTGCCTCAGAGAGTTCAGCTTGTACTAATTATAAAACAAAAGTAGTCATGCTGTGTAGGTTAGTCATTTTCCTTAAAAAAAAAAAAAGGATGGTCACAATACTGTGAGTAGTAATAGTTGAAACTGAGTAATTGTATATTTTAGAAATATAGTAACAAGTAGTCAGTCCAAAAAGCAATGAATACAAAAAAAAAATAGCCATAACTGGAGCTCAAACTACTGATCTTGCAACTGAGACATGCTTTTCACCCCAAGATGACATGACAAGCAAAATATTTTTAATGGTATGATCTAAGAGTTGCATCTTATTTTGGTTACTGTTTCATGAACAGGCCCCAGACAGTAGTGCAAACACTTGCACTACTGTCACAGCAGCAGCACACCATTTCCCCTTTGTCTTATAGAAGATGCTGAAGAAAGAAATATAGATTTAGGTCACATACTGAACAAACTTGATAAGAGAAAGCATATGATAGGGTGCCAAGAGGGAACTGTGGTACTGTATGAGAAAGTCAGCAGTGGCCAAGAAGTATGTATGAGGACAGTAAGACACTAATGAGGTGTGCGGTAGGAGAGACAGATGTGTTTAAGATAAGATGAGATAAGATAAGATAACTATTTATTGTCACTGGACAGTCATACATAGTACAGTAGTACAATAAAATTGGAAAACTGTCCTACGTCGGCACTACATATACGTCACGATATGACACATCACAACGCAACACAAACAACACAACACAGTATAATAACTTAGTAATAAAAAAAGAAGAAGAAGTGTAT